TAGATACTAAAGTTAACAAATGTTATATTTGGGAAAATACTCATTTGTAAGTACACATTTTTGTACTTTTTTGGTTAAGTCCCGTTCGGGAAAAAATACTAGAATTTGTATTTTACCTGAGTGAGTGAGTATGGTTTTATGCCGCTATTCTAGAAATCACGGCGGGGGCCACCAGAAATGGGCTTCACGCATTGTACCCATGTGTGGAATGGAACCCGGGTCTTCAGCGTGATGAGCGAATTCTTTGCCCATTAGGCTACGCCGCCGTACTATTCTACTAAGACAGAGTTATCCCAAATATAACTTTGGTTTTATTGGACCACTTTCCAAATGGCATATTGCAAAAAATTGTATTAACAGCTTTTGGAAATGGGAGCCGTGTCAATATACTCTCGTGAGAGGGGTATACATGGTCCGTGATCTAGACTGCAACTTATCCGATTTCCATTGTTGTGGAAGCCTCCGTGTCTGAGCTGGCTAGATCGCTGACTTTGTGTGCTAGCGATTAGGTGCCTCACGCTGAGAGTGTGGGTTCGAAACCCGAATGGGATTCAACCTAGAAAGGCACTAGAATGTGTACTTTTCAAAGAAACTGCTATCCCAGATGTAACATTTGGTACATTTGACCACTTTCTAAATGGCATTGTGGATTCATGTCAAAGCAAGGTAAGCATGGCCAAATCATACATTCTCAGGCTGGAAAATTGGCCCATAATGTCATAAATTACATGTAGAAAGAATAAACAAATGAATCTCAAGCAGTGTCGCGATAAGTCTCAACTGTTGTTATCTATGCACATTTCTTGTCACTGTTTCCACAGTCAAAGGGTACCTCACATCAGCACGAACTATAATGTGCTATTGAACTCGCCACAAGACCTCGTTGTTTGCCCAGACAGGACACGCACATTTCCATCGTTTAACTTGTCGCGGGCTACCCACTACCCCATTCTTCACAATGGTACGTGCCAGTGGGCTGGCCTCATACATATTCATACGGGTTCTTTATTAGGTCACAACTCAACTTATGTCAGCTTATCAGTATGTTATTTAAGGCAGGAGCATCACATCCAAATAAACGCTATGACTATTGTAAGCCTATGTTAAAGCATGGGAGTTACGATCATCTTAGCACTAAGATCGCTTTGTGCAAGTGGACCCTGGTCTATAAGTATCACACCCAGTGGTTCATGTTCAATTCCCCACATGTGTACAACATGAAGCCCATTTATGGAGTCCCGGCCAAGATATTGATGAAATATTGCTAAAAGGTGGTGTGAGACCATACTCACACATTATTCTTATCTGAAAACCTCATGGCATCAACAAGTGATACGACCCCTGAAGATCCGGGATAGAATAGGTCTTCAGCAACCCATGCCTGCCGAAAAGCGACTAACAGGGCCGGGTCGTCAGGCTTGCTGACTTGGTTGATACATGCCATCGATCCCAGTTGCGTGGGTGGATGCTCATGATATCAATCACTGGATGTCTGGTCCATACTCTATTATTTACAGACCGCCGTCATATAGCTGGAATATTGCTGAGTGTGGCGTACCACAACAAACAAACAAAGTGTCTAATCGTAGACGTGTTCAGTTAAACCACGGGTCGCTCGATTGGTCTGACATACTTAAACCATATCCAACATTTATAGCACATAAACTGCCAAAAAAACATTGTTTTGTTAAAGGTATTTTGAAAGATATCAAGAAACTCAATGCTCAACTTTGAGACCACTGTGTAAGTTGGCCCTGCGTGAAACACGTGAAATCTGTCCCCTGAGCCTTTCGCACGTGCACCTCGCACTGCCGATTTGCGTTATGAAATGCATGTCCCAGGGCAAGTATACCATTCATTGTGGACCAACTCGAGCACTTTTATCAATTACTTAAATATAACTTGCCAATGTTGGTGGTCTTATCATGAGCAAACATAGCCCTCATCAAGATAATAGTAATTTCGTTTCTATCAGTTCGTTTCGTTGAACTAAAAGCTACCAAATCGCATGTACTGTACAAAAAATTGAATTCATAGAGTCACATACCGTATAAAAAAAATCATAACACATATTTCGAAGTCCATAAACAGATAAGCAATTAGTCCTGATATAACTTAATATTTAGTTGTTAATTTCTCACAATTCTTTCCCTTGTCACATTGGCAGAAGACTACATTCGTTTATCTTCCGTGCGGGTTCCAATCCCGCCGGCGACAAACGTTTTTCATGAAATTGTTCTATTATCAAGATGAATGATACTGGTAGTCTAGATCACGTGGAAACCTCGGTGTCTGAGTGGGTCAGATCGCTGACTTTGTGTGCTGGCGATTAGGTGCCCCATTACCCGAAGTGGTAAACGTCTGAGACCTGCATCCTTCGGGCTTTCCTCCCACATAAAGCTGGCACGTCGCGATATAACTGGAAAACTTTTAAAAGCGGCGTTAATCCAAACTCACTCACTCACTCACTTAAATGCAAGGAATCTGACGATCTTATAAGGTCGATTACTGTTTTTAAACTGCTCTTTGTTATGTAAACTTTTATGATTATTCAAATTACGTTTTGCCTGGTGATACCGTCCCCTACTGATCTTACATAGGCGTACGAACCAACGCTTAGATCTATTGCATCCTGGTCTACGTCAGGAGATACCCTGACTGACACGTTCCACACCAAATCTGCAACCAATATTACATCAAAGTTATCTCTGTATTTTACAATATCATCTTCTCAACAGGACCACCTTCGTGGTCTTGTGGTAGAGCATCCGCCCCGGCCGCGCCATACCAAAAGACGTTAAAAGATGGTACTTGATGGCTAAAAGGAGGACTGGTCAGTTCGGAGTCAGTATACTGTGTCTGAGTGGGGTATACGTGTTAAACTGCGGCGAGGTATCTCAGTGGGTTAGCACTATAAAATCGCCATCAGTCCGGACTAGTAAGAGTAAGCAGCCAAACCCACACGTGCATGCACGTCGCTATATATAAGTGCAATAATCTTGGACGCGAAGTTTAATGCCATTTCACCTCACCTCATCTAATATTCTCAACAAGCAAACATGCTGTGATCATAACAAGAAGATCCCTCTGGAGGAATGTACTCACATCCTACAAATATATCCTTGTCACTTTTCACCAGATGATATGAATGTTTTGTCCATAGGACACAATCACAATTAGTCCTCACTTCTGTGACCAGGTGAGACATATGTCTCTTAACAATAGCAGCTAGACCACCTGATTCTTGTGGAGGAGTTACTGTTCGTGGTGTAAACATAACACATAGGAAGATTTGATAGTTTGAATGTCATCAAGTTTGGTCTCTGCAAAGAGACCAATATCCAAATTATTAATCAGAGAAGTCAGGATTTATCAATTTGGATTCAAGTCCACATACATTAATGAACTTTATACACAGCTTAGTCATGTTTTAGGGATTGTTGTTGTTGTTGTTGTATTACTGTAGTTGTAATTCTTGTTGTTTATTGTTATTCTTCCTTGACACCTCTATGGGACACTGCACTTTACCTTTTGCCCAGGTTGAACAGTTTCTGGTGGAGATATGAATGTGTTTGATGTCGCTTTGCTATTGCTTAGAGGAGGGCAATCTCTCTGATACTGCCTGTCTCTAGTGTTATTATCATGATAGCCACTGTCTGAGCAGATTCTTCTGTTCTCTAAGTACGACCTGTCCCTTACAAACATTGCATTTTTACCATTTGACAAAGAACGTGTATTTCAAGTTTTGGGGACAACAGAGAGCTTAAAATGCGGCGCCATTCTATTTCCAACTATGACGTCATATCGTGTGCGGTGTGACCTCATAACGGTGACGTGCTGTGTACAACAAAAACCGTGCCAGGCTTGATTCATTTTCTTCAGGGACATGTAAGTATCGGCTTCATGGTGACAAACGGAGTATCAGTGTTACACACTTTCATTGTCTGCCATATATGCGAGCAAGGTATAATGATGTAAACAAACACTTTTTCAGCATAATGAAACGTCATATTTTTTTATCGGCGTTTTCTTTTTTTCAGATCCACAACCCAAAATGCGCGCTAAAATCAATCTCATTGATAACATTAAAGAGTTCGTGTTAAATTCTGTCACGGTAGAATTGAGATAAACATGTACAGCCAGATTTTATACAGTTCAGTTTCAGTTCAATTTAGCGCTATGAAATGTAACTTTGCTCAACATTGAAAACACAGTATGTTTATCTCCTTTTAGACATAAAATGCTGCTACTATTTTACCACTATAAAGACACATAGTCATTGAAACGTACATAAAATGTCTTTACTCTCCCGGTGAATATTGTGTATAAGCTGACAAAGCAAACGGTATAAACGTTACGTTGTGAGGATTGCAAGACCCGATTCACAATTCCCACTTATGATATTGATCATTTTTTCCGTCAAATCTGGCATGGCCATCTGTAGATCAGAGCAGGCATACAGAATAGGTACCTTGGTTCTTCAGGTGGAACTAAACGTGCAGGTCTGGGATGTGGCACACGTATAGACAATCTCTCTGGACCTCAGTTTGAACGGTATATGTCTCTATGGGTAATAAGCCTTGCACGACCCACCTTTCTAACATCTTATAGTCACATTTAGAAGCTGTAGTATTAACTGAAGACAGATTTGACGTCCTGCTTTCAGCTTCTTTATTCTTTCCTTGCAACCTTTCGGTATAGATGCTAGAACCGTTATCAAGCAAGTGAAACAGGTACCAGCATCTCTACCGAAGTGTCACAATGACAGAATATAGAAGTTGCAGGTAAAGAGGTGATAAGGTTGCCTGTGGTTTCACTATCGATGGATAGTGAGCTGCACCACCAGTGTGTAACATTATCCGTATTATTACACATCTACAGGGACACAGACAATACACTACACTCCACTTCTCCTGGCAGCTGATATGTCCAACTATTGATTAAATTTGGTACATTGTTTCAGCACGCATGGTGGAAGAAAGTGAAATGGGGGTACTTACATATCGGTCCATCACACGTTGCTGAAACAGAAGATGTTTTCATGAGGACATAGCCAGTTTATCCCAATGTGTGCACACCAAAAGAAAATAAGATTCATCAGATAGTTTTCAAGCAAGTGCATGAGTGAATCGCTGGCCATTTGTGCGTGTATATTTCAACCACTTGGTGCGAAGGATAACGCCCTACTCCACGGTATCCTCGGGAACGCAATACACTATGAAGAGATCACAAGCCCTGTGTTCCTTATCCCATGACTATGAATGAAATAAGGGATGCAGGGATGAGTGCGCCATTGTCACCTCTATCGGATTACCTTCAATGTTTCGTTTTCTTACCAACCTGCCTCTGTCAATTAGATATATATATATATATATTTGGGTATTTTCATTTAAGGGAATGAAGATTGTATGGCATTACACGTACATGTCCATGGACTTCATCTCTGTATGGTGTATGTAAATCATATCCAAGATTATTTGTAAGTGCGAAAACAAATGACACAGATACTGTGAAATGATATTTCAGGTATCAGATATATAAATACATGTGGCCCATATTATTCGGAAATAGAGAAAGATGTGGATTTTTGTATTTATCAAGGACCTGACCCAGCTAACACTGACAGTACACATGTATGTTGTAGTTGGAATCAGACTATTGGTGATTATATATTATATATATATGATATATTATGAGTAGACAATTTCTTTCACACGAAAGATTTTAAGTCCTTGTGCGCACCTTCTGATATCTATCCAGTGTGCATTGGATTGGTTAACGCCATTATGATTTGTAAGGTACATATTTCTATTGCTCTTTTGAACTGTTTTAAAGTCAGTGACATGACACTACCTGGCTCTGTATTCTTACCTAACCTTATAATACACAAAAAAGTGCCTGAAGCTATCACAGTTGAGTGAGTGGGTGAGTTGTGTTTAATGCCGCTTTTAACAGTATTCAAGTCATATCACGGCGTGTCAGCTTAATGTGGGAGGAAAGCCCGAAGTGATGCAGGTCTCAGACGTTTGCCACTTCGGTGAAACCCACGAGTACGGGTATGGTGCTGACAAACCTAGAAACATAACCGGGACGAACCGGGATTCGAACCCGCAATCATAGGTTTCTGGCAAACACAAGGGACGCAACTCTGCACAGCGAATTGTGGCGCCTTAGTTGACTGGGCCAACCGTGACACCCTATCACAGTTCAATAAAATAGTTATGTTATCTGTGACCTTTAACTTAACGGATAGTGTGTCGTCATCGTCTTTATCTGTGTGTCATAGGGAAACACCTTAGTCAGTTGGGTGGTCGATACATATAAAACACAAGTTGGCTTCAGGATTGATTTTCTCTTGTCATTACACATGGTCGTAGGTATCAGGCTGGTTATGAAGGTATCAGGGTGGGTATGTAGGTATCAGGATGGGTATGTAGGTAGCAGGTTTGTTATGAAGGTATCAGGATGGGTATGTAGGTATCAGGGTGGGTATGTAGGTATCAGGGTGGGTATGTAGGTTTCAAGTTGGGTATGTAGGTATCAGGGTGGGTATGTATATATCAGGTTGGTTATGAATGTATTAGGATTGGTATGTAGATATCTTGGTGGGTATGTAGTTATCAAGTTGTGTATGATATTATAGAAGTGTGGTTATGTCGGTATCTCATTCATTATTAAGGTATTAGGGTTGGTATGTAGTAATCTGGATGGGTATGTAGTTATCAGTTTGTGTATGATATTCTAAGGGTGGTTATGAAGGTGTGAGTGTGTTCTTTTAGGTATCAGATTCGTTATTAAGGTATCAAGGTGGGTAAAGTGTGGGTGAGTAGTTGTCGGGGTGGATATGTAGGTATCAGGAAAGGGATATAGGTATCATATTCCGTAAGTAGTTATCAGTTTGGGTAAGTAGTTATCAGGTTGAATAGGTAGTTATAAGGGCTGGTTTGTGGCATCAGGGTGGGTATGTCAATATCAGGTATGTAGGTGCATGATCGGGTAGGTAATTACCAGGTTGTGTGTGTAGGTGCATGATTTGGTATGTAGTTATCAGATTGGCTATGTTGTTATCACGTTGGGAATGTAGGTACATGTTTTGGTATGTAGGTAAATGATTAGGTATGAAGGTGCATGATTGGGTATGTAGGTACATAATGGGGTATGTGCGTGCATGGTTGAATATGTAGGTGCAAATTGTGGATGTAAGTATATAATTGGATATGTAGGTATCTATTTGCGTGTGTAGTGATAAGGGTTGGCATGGAGATACATCATGTAGGTACATGCTTAGGTATGTAGGTACGTGTGCGGATGTGTAGGTTTCCATCTTGTACATGTTCCAGTTAATAGATAGACGTGTTGATACATTTGAATTTTTCAAATTAATATGTATATGTCCATTGAATATGACAGTCTGTTTCTTTGTATGTCACTATGTGCACCGATTGATATTTTTTGTATGGAAAAGGATCTCAGCTAAAATGACATCGTTTTGCATGCTACTTTCAATAATTCAACATTGCATTTTGCTTCATACCAACTGCTGTTATGCAACATATTACCTTTTGCATTGACATACATTCGGCATTGCAGATTGCATTGACCAACTACACTCTAGATCTCCTCCTGAAAATGTGATTATGCCTGATGAAATACAGTATTTGTCTCTATTGCTAAACAATTGTTCATTCTGCTTTGTTTCAGAAAAGACTATTACGAGTGATGCAGAATGTAATATTGTCGGATTTATGATTCAACTACCCCGTTCCGCTTTATGCCTGGGGTTTTTTTTAAATCATATACACGTCTCGTCTACACGCATGTTTGCACGGTCGCTGAGAACAATCAACTTATGATAATTCATTCTGACTACGAAACTTACTACGAGGATAGCTCTGCGTCTCAAGATGACCAGGCCAATTCGTACAATTTCCCAGTTGAAAACATAATTTTGAAACATATTGATAAATGAAACATTGAAGAGCATAGTCCCCTCTTTATATTAGGTTTCAACACAACAGAACTTTATAGATCATATATTGCTAGGTATTTATCAGATTAAAGGTCTAAACAATATACGTTTTTAAATCCTCTTAATATGAATTGAAGGTGCTACCTCAGAAAGTATCAAAACGTGTGTCCCTTTTGGGAACGTTTCCTGAGTTGAGGCTGAGGCTGGTTTGTAATATTTGTCTCTTATTCAAACAAACCCATGTGCACTAACGGTTGTATGCATGACTAGCACATGTGTACATCGGAAGCGATTGATGCTATAATACATGGAGCGACGAATGACAATGCTATTATATTCTACCCAAAAGACGTTTATCTAAAGCATTATGAAAGAATCGGATGTTATTTAATCGTTTTGGAGTAGTACGTTATATCTGAAAAGATCTGTGGTCCAAAATCGGCCCCAAATAGCTCATGAATCGAAACAGTTTTTAGCAGGTCATTGTTTTTTCACGTCCGCAACGGCTTTTACATTATTGTGAATGAACCAGACAGGCACATTGGTACTACCAAGGTCCTCTGTGCCCAATGATCGATATATGGTCGCTTGGTCGGTTTGTTGTTTTACGCCGCACTCAGCAATATTCCAGCTATATGACGGCGGTTGATCGATATATGAAGCCAGTATATTGCAGCTCATGTAGCAACGAGTATGCGCCGTAGATGGGTACCTTAAAAAGAAACTAGAATCGAGGAAATCGGCTGCCCTAGCACTTTGGTTTCCAGCCATTCATGTACCACTTTATTAGTATTCGATGTACTTGAGGCGCTGGTCCGTTTTGACTGATATCCCATCGAGACACACAAAGCTAATTGCTCAAAATGTTCCAGTCATAATGCCAACAAGCAGAAGAGCATATGTATCATAATTTGTCATGTACGTCCCCGTCAAGCATGTGTGTTCACAAAACAATAATATCATACAACTCGTGGAAGGAATAGTTGAAATAAGATCACGACAATACTAAACTTTGCATCACTCACAGTAGCACCTTCAGGTAAGCAACATGGAAGTGGATGTATCGCAAACAAGGAGAATATCATTATCCCCCCGTCACAGTGGTATTTGTCAAAAAGGGGGATGTAGTTTGGGGGATGCAAAATGCAGTGTTGAATTATGAAAGCAGTATGAAGTATAATGCAAATTTAGCACAGCTCATCTTCCATACTCAGTAGGCGGACACAGAATCAGTTCAGGTAGGAATGTCTCTCCATAGATGAATTTTGCTTCATTATCACTCAAGAGATAAGTAATAAGTACCAAATAAACAGTGTGTGAGTAAGTATGGTTTTACATCGCTTTTAGCAATATTCCAGCAATATAACGGGGACACCAGAAATGGGCTTCACAGATTGTACCCATTTCGGGAATCGAACCCGGGTCTTCGGCTTGACGAGCGAACACTTTAGCCACTAAGCAACCCTATCGCCCCCACCAAACAAATAAGGTAAGAACTTTCTCTGGTGCTTCATTCTTTAGCTCTGCTGATTAAATTTTCATGAGGGCAGTTGAATATGTAACAGTTTGTATGTCTGTTTGGAACTAGGGACCTATATCTCACACATTCTACATCTGTTCACAAACACTGCTTGTCCACCCTTCACCTTATATTTGTTTACAAACTACGGTTGTCCATCTTACGCCCTGTATTTACTGACGGACGAGTACAATCGGTACCCTGTTTGTGTCTACATACAACCTACAACAACAGTCCTGCATATGTGAACTCACCACGAACTCATCCTCTGCTTCTCCTCCAACCTGTATCAGCTCTGCTCCAGACATGACTTCGGGCTGAAACACAGCAAGTACTTTCTTTAATACCGATATTGTCTTTTGCACCAATATCTCTTAACAATATTGTCTTTAAGATAAGATCAACACATATGCTAATTAACCAACTATTTGGATGTTTTAGTAGAACAGGCTTAGTAACCACATATTTCAATGTTGATTTAAGGCACTATTAAGATGTTTACCCAGTTAACAGTTTTTCGGCACTTCGAAATCTATGGACTTTCAATTTTTCTATTCTTATTGCAATTTGACAAGCAGCTGTCTTTAATGGCCTAAGATTAGATTTCAAAGGGTTTTGTCGCTTTTATTCATGTATATGGAAACCATGTATCTTTGTTTGACACATATCTGCCGCATAATGTGCAATTGTGCATGTATTTTCATACACTTACCAAATACCAGTCTTCATCATCACTGTCAAAGTCTTCATTGTCAAAGTCTACACTGTCACAGTCCTGTATTTTGGTCTCACACAACAAGTCCAACCAATGACATCTGATACTTGTCTTTAACTACTCTAAGTATTGAGTCAGGGAATAGGTGCTGCAATGTTCATTATCTACAGAAATACGACGTTTTGTTTTTGCCGCACATGCAATTTATTTCCACCACAAGCTAAAGCGCGCCAGAGACGTATTCGGCACATCCAACACAAATAATTATTGATTTCCTCTGTCAATATATTTGCCGTAGAGTAGTGTTCCCGAAATATTCCACAACAGTAAAATAAACTATAGCTAGACGCTTGTTAGAAGTTCACCATGCTCATACCTGTGTAGGACTTCTATCCTCCATGTTATTCCTGAACTGTTCAGCTGCCTGATTCGTGATGGACTCAATAGCCTGGAAGGAAGATTGAGAATATGAGAAACACAAAGTGATATAACAACATAGTCCTGCGTGATGTAGACTTAAGCTACTGGCTATAATATACAGGCACTACCACTACTACAAACACTACGACTACTACTACTACTGCTGATGTTGATTCTGATACTACCACTACTACTGCTACTACAACTACTACTACGACAACGACTACTACTACTACTACTGATACTGATACTACCACTACTACTGCTGCTTCTACTACTGCTGATATTGATACTGATACTACTACTACTACTACTACTGCTGCTGCCACTACGACTACTACTGCTACTACTACTACTGCTACTACTACTACTACCACTACTACTACTACTACTACTACTACTACTACTACTACTACTACTACTACTGCTTCTACAACTATTAATAATGATAAGAGAAAGGTGAGACATAACTTGTCACTTCACGACATCAAATAATACAAATATTATTAGAACTATTTACAAATTTTATAAATCATCTTTATAAATTGAATATCTGTTCCTTTTGTCTTAAGACAGTTTCTTTGTGTAGATTTTGTTCAATTATTGTAACAGATGGCCCATATCTTAAGGACAGATATTCACAGAGCGACATCTGGGTCACAACGTTGATCTCCTGTATTACATGCTTAATTAGTGAAGTGAAGTCAGTGTCACACAATCACACCGTAAAGGTTCCTATTACACATGCCAATGCCTTTTTAGGTACCAATAACGTTTGATATGTTTTAGCAACTGTGTTATATTTTCTTCTAAACAGTAACATATGAACTGAACAAAGTGAGAGACCGTGGGAAATGGTCTAAATATCCTGCAGGGTGGAACCGTTTGTGCGGCTGGTTAACCTTGTATTTTATTTGTACATCCACACGGGGAAAACCCTGTTGCTATTAATATAGGCTGTGTCACCTGTCCACACATCGGATTAATCCTGGAGTCGCTTTTCCCTTTTGAACGGTTCATGTCACCTACGGCTGAATCACAAGATTGTTGTGACAGCCCAGACAATTGTCAGCAAGTGAGAGTAGATGTGTCTTTTAAATGTAAGCACAATCATTCCAAAGATGAACTGGTTATAGCATACAGCCATATAATTAAAACAGAGACAATTATGTAAAGTGATCATATGTGTCCTTGAATACCTTAAACTGGAGTATCCCTTTAATAAAGAGAATCTAAGGAATAGGCAATAACGAAACCCGCTATCGTGGCTGATCAGATATATTTTTAAATTCAACACACGTCACAATATCGGCAATAAGTAAACATGTTTGTGACATATGTAAAAAACGACATAGAAATTGATTTGTCATTCAAACGTTTATGTCAACTACTACATCATATATCATAGGTATATCTACAACCGAATCTTATGACTTCAAACTGCATTGTGTGATTTCAGCACACATTCACTGACGGAAGACCTATTACAAACGCCTATCAGAAATCAAATATATGTGAACGACTAAAAACTGTGCTGCTTCTTGGTGTCAGGTTTTAGTCAGTTTGAATCGTTGTCTTTGATGTTAACAACAACGCCCCTTGATGCAGTCATATCAACACGCACCTACCACCCCTCTATCACCCCAGCCGCTTCATGAGTTCAATAGTTAACATTCCCCCACTCCTTCCGGTTCGTCGTATCTGAGGTCATTGTCTGCCACTGAATGTTTCTCGTACATATAGGACGCAATATATCCGACAGAACTATAGATGTGTCTGAAGTCTTTGTGGCGAGTTTGTTCTTATTGGAAGGGACACATGCTTCAGTGGACGACTCGTTATCACATGTTTTGTCGGGTATCAGTATTGCATTGGTGCTTAGTCCCAGTTGTCGGGGTTTCAGTATTGAGATGGCAGTTAGTCCTGTGTGTAGTGGTATCCGTATTGAATTGGTGGTTATGAAGTTCCAGTGTCAGTGTATCAGTGATGGTTAGTCCCGTGTGTCGGAGTATCAGTGATGGTTAGTCCCGTGTGTCGGAGTATCAGTGATGGTTAGTCCCGTGTGTCGGGGTTTCAGTATTGAGGTGGCAGTTAGTCCCGTGTGTCGGGGTATCAGTGATGGTTAGTCCCTTGTGTCGGAGTATCAGTGATGGTTAGTCCCGTGTGTCGGGGTTTCAGTATTGAGGTGGCAGTTAGTCTCGTGTGTCGGGGTATCAGTGATTGTTAGTTCCGTGTGTCGGGGTATCAGTGATGGTTAGTCCCGTGTGTCGGGGTATCAGTATTGAGGCGGCAGTTAGTCCCGTGTGTCGGGGTTTCAGTATTGAGGTGGCAGTTAGCCCCGTGTGTGGAGGTATTAGTGATGGTTAGTCCCGTGTGTCGGGGTATCAGTGATGGTTAGTCCCGTGTGTCGGGGTATCAGTATTGAGGCGGCAGTTAGTCCCGTGTGTCGGGGTTTCAATATTGAGGTTGCAGTTAGTCCCGTGTGTCGGGGTATCAGTGATGGCTAGTCCCGTGTGTCGGGGTTTCAGTATTGAGGTTGCAGTTAGTCCCGTGTGTCGGGGTTTCAATATTGAGGTTGCAGTGAGTCCCGTGTGTCGGGGTATCAGTGATGGTTAGTCCCGTGTGTCAGGGTTTCAGTATTGAGGTGGCAGTTAGTCCCGTGTGTCTGGGTATCAGTGATGGTTAGTCCCGTGTGTCTGGGTTTCAGTATTGAGGCGGCAGTTAGTCCCGTGTGTCGGGGTATCAGTATTGAGGTGGCAGTTAGTCCCGTGTGTCGGGGTATCAGTGATGGTTAGTCCCGTGTGTCGGGGTTTCAGTATTGAGGTGGCAGTTAGTCCCGTGTGTCGGGGTATCAGTATTCATATATGGCATATTACGGTTTCCCCATCTTCAGTCACCAAACTGTTATTTGAGCGTCGGAATTTACAAAGTGCTCTACCGTAAGCATCACAATGCACAGATTAAAGGTTCTTTATTTTAATTATGCCATAATATAATATTTCTATAATATCTGGGCTTTGGGTCATGTCCCAATTTATCAATCCATGACTGTTTATCAATGTCAACACATCTCTGTTTGAACAAACCAATAAAACACCTCATATTTCCAAAACCTTGCTCTATCCAAGGAAAACCCAAACCATGGCTAAATGAAAAGCTCCTTGCTTTTAAGTGCAACAATCTGCCGCCTTTTCTGCTAATTAATGCTGATAGAAATATTGACAATAGTCACAAACAAAAATTCATATGTTGGTTCACTTAGAGCATGTAGAGAGAATATCGACATAAGACGTTCCTCACCACAATATTTGGTACACTTGGTACTTCAGAAATATACCATGTACATTGAGAATATGAGGTGAAGAAAAGAATCCCCCAAGTTTCCCATCAAATATATGAACACATGAATAGGTAGATTAACAAAATTGTGTATTGTAGTTTTTAAACTTGACAAAACCGTGACAGCCTGCTGTGACAATGTCTCTTGAGTGATACACCAAGAGCCAGAAGAGAAATGAACTCCTAAATATTTAAACAAGAAACTATATTAATGGGATTTAATTTCAGCATGACTTTTCAAATTGACGTTTAATTGCCATTTGTAACAACAAGTTGTTAACTCCTCAATTTGTCTCCGTCAACTTATAACGGTGCCATCAAACATAACAATATCATCTGCCAGAGTATGATAAACAATTCCAACGAATCAGTACCAATGCACTTCTGATTGTCAAGGCACAAATATATTTAACTATATCATTTATAAAGAAAGAAAATAAGAACGGCGACAACTGATATCCCTGCCGGACACCAAATGAACATTAAAATGACTGTGTTGCCACCTCGTAGTAAAACACATGACTTCACTTTCATATTGTTAATTGATCGAAATATGTTACCTTTCACATTTCCAATCCATAACTGACAAAACAGACACCTCCTAAAACTTTAATGGAAAGCTGACTTAAATTGATAAAAACACAGAATCTACCATTATACATAGACATATAATTGACTGGTGATGGGTGTGTATGTTGTATTTTGTGTTTGGAAGGTTGGTGATGTCTATGGTTGTTGGTGTTAGTTGTGGTAGGTTGTATGTGATCTGTATGATGGTTGGTGATATCTGTGGTAGGTTTTATTTGATGTGTGATCTGTATAGTGGTTGGTGATATCTGTGGTAGGTTGTAATTGATGTGTGATCTGTATAGTGGTTGTTGATAGTTGTGGTAGGTTTATGTTATGTGTGGTCTTACAACTAATCAAGTTAATATTTATTCTTAATGTGACGTGCGTGATCAGTGAGTTCTATACCATACTACCATGTGTGCTTTTCAACTGACAACAAACACCTTTAATCATTCTCATTACTAGTATAGTTTATAGTTTCCCCTTTGAAAAGCCACATAAGAATAGTAAGACAAGTTCTATGGATGAACAACTTCTTTATTACAATTAGTGCGACGTTTCGGTGTAGGTCCTAACACCTTTATCAAGCAAGTGACTGATAGTGCTAAACAACATAGGTATATATACCTATTAACATCAACATAACATTCATGAAAGAAGTCACATAAGAATATCCTAAACATGGCATACACCCTACTCACCAGTAGAGTACACGTCCGTCAAGTTATACTTAGTTTAACACCGTATCTTGGTGTGCCCGTTAAGGTAACTCCTAATGTTCTGTGATCAGACTATCAGTGTGTTGACGGTTTATTTGCACTAAACTGCAGTAAGCGTGGCTGGTTAACCTTGTTGCTATAGGTAGATCCACGTTGGCCCCTGACACTCAAGCAACACCGGTTAATCTTCCTAAGTATACATCTTTCTGATCGTAAACTGTCTTTGTAACATTCAGAACTATTCAGTTGTTTTATGCAAATGATATTTAGATCATTATCGACATTTAAACTTCTTTCAACGTATCATAACACAATACGACAGCTGGTTGATCAATTGAGCAGAGGTTATGGTTGTGCTGTTTCAGAACTGAGAGTAACGTCAGATTAACCCCCGTCTAAGGTGGAGCTATATATTTACACATTTACACGGGGTGTCATATCTGATGCTAAGTCTGAGGTCACAAGATATAAATAGTAAGATTATACTGATGTTACAGCATCTCAAAACAGAAACAACTAGACGTTCAATACTCTCACATAAATATAATATTTACTCTTTAATGTCTGGCATTGAATACAAGTAACATTGCCACATGGTTTGTAAACTGCTGTTGGTATGTATATCTATGTAAAAACTTTAGATGAATAATATGAAAATACAGTTTAATTTCTTAATCTACTTCTGAGTTGTGGTTGCACGGTCGAAAATTGAAAAATGTCTTTATGATCTAACAACATTTGTTAGCCCCACAGTGAAAGTATTTACAAGAGGATATTATTAGAAAGATACCACTGTACATTACGAGTCCTGCATTTAAACATTAGTATCATATGTGTTGTATGTTTTGTTGAAATAGATGACTATAACCGTATAACGACAATAGTTGACAGTCACGAAGTCAGTACAATAACATATAAACCAGTTTCTAGCATGATGGATTAATCCTGCCGCTCGTGTGAAGTCACGTGACTAGCACTTCAAATGACATGTCTCCACCAGTGCAGCTCGCTGCATATATATAAATATATATATGTCACACAGATGGCCAAGGAGATTAACCACGGTATTGGACAGACGCACACATGGCCAGTGAGATTATTTACTATATTTGAAACTGAATGTCTCACTGTGAACAAGTAATGAAAGTTCGATGATAGACTATGATCCCTCAACAAGATACTATTGTTAAAATATACGTGACGACATTGATTAAAGTTCTTTAGCAAGCATAATTTTGATAAATGTATTGATGTGTACCTACCTAGATTTGTCCAGAATAACACACAAATACACGGGTATGTCCGTTTATGATCGCAATATATGTCCGCGGTCCACACAGCACTGTAGCGCCGTGTGTTCTGCGCCCGGACCTATCTGTGGGTTGTCTTTATACCACACGGGAGTGACGCCACCGCTGGTTAACCTGATCTAAAAATAGGTCCACGTTGGGCCAGGAACTGAAGTCTCACAACAACGCTGGTTAATCGTTGACTAAATCTTCCTGTCAGCATCAAGTTGCTAGTACTCTGATAGTTGACCTCGAGATATATTTACGTGAATCAGGCTTTCTGATAGACAATTGCTTTCCCTTCAAATACATTTCTTACTTGACTTAAATGAGTTTGGGTTTATGCCCTTTTTTCACAATATTCCCGCAACATGTTGGCGGACGACACCATGAGTGAGCCCACACTTTGTACACTTGAGGGAAACGAACAAGGGCCCAACCTCAGAGTTGCTTATGTACTATTACCACAATCCTTAGTACATTTGCAGGTGCTTGGACTTGCTATGTGAGACTAGCCCTGACATTCTATCAAGGCAGATTAATCTTGCTGTTATAAAAAGATCCACGTTGGTACAACGGTCGACTCACAAAAATGGTGAATCGTTGTGTTTTGTCATGTTCTGCTTACACACAGTATTGTCATGTGGTTTATATTTTACATCTGCTGCACACTGATTCATGGTAGTGATGCTTAATGTTATTCAAACGGATACTTTTGTTACAGCATGAAAACAAAAGCCGATATAAGGTGGTGACTGTTGGTTCCCTGCCTGGCGCTCAGCATTTAGGGGATAAAACAAGGACTGGTCGGCCCAGAGTTGGTATACCCTGTCTTATTGGGGTAACCATGTTACATTCTGGCATAGTATCTCAGTGGGCTCTTACTATCAAATCGGCATTAGTCAGAACTAGCACACACATAGACAGTCAGGCAGAAATACATACACACATAAAGACACACACACTGAAACACAAAGACATCAAGATATACCCGTAAAGGTAACTCCTTATGTTCTTGGATCAGACTATGTGTGTAGACGGTTTATTTACACTAAATTGCAGTATGTGTGGCTGGTTAACCTTGTTGCTATAAATAGATCCATGTTGGCCTCATGCCACTCATACAGAGCTGGTTAATCTTCCCATACATCTTTCTGATTATTAGCTGCCTTGGAAGTTTGATATCTTCTTTTCAAACAACTCTTTTAGTTTGATGAAGGAAGAATGTGTAATGTTATTAACTGAGGGTGTCAAAGCTGCAGCAGTTAAATAAACTGAATTATTTGGACATTGTTGCTCACAAGTTGGTTATGACAGCTACAATTTTGCTCAGAGCACAGATAATCAACCACCATAGTTTGATGAATAATGTAATAATCGCAAGGATGAAAAGTACAAATGTCTTTATAAGCTTAGAAAATTTAAGTGCGAAAAAAACATCAATGATTATATATTGGCTAAATCTAACATTAAACATTGCTGTAAGCAAAAAAAGAGTTTCTATGACAGTAAAACAGCTGACGATATCAAATATTTCGCCTCCAAGAGTAATTGTACAGAGTTTTGGAAATCATTAAAACGCCCCTCATCTATAGTGATAAAGGCAAATCATCTGTTACTCGAGAAGTGTGGTATTCCTATTTTAAGAATTTGTTCACTGAACAGAGCATTTGCTGTTTAACAAAGTTCTTGATAGCGGAGTGATTCCTGAGGTATAGAATCTTGGGATGATAATACCATTATACAAATGTGGATCCTAACAACTACAGGGGCATTTCCCTTTGGAACATCAACATAATATTAGGGCAGGTTTATAGGTCTATTCTAGAAAAAAACGCCTCAGAATCTGGAGAGCGGGAAATGAGTTTATTTCAGAATCCCAAGCACGTTTCCTGTCTCATTATTCTACCATTGATCATATCTTTACGTTGCATACATTATGTTCCAAATATCTCTGTAAGCCAAAAGGCAGATTTTATTGTGCATTTATTGATTTTAGAAAGGTGTTTGATTATGTTGACAGGCAAAAACGCTATATTTACTTCTACAAAAGGTATGCTATGGTAAAATGTACAATGTGTTAAAAAGTGTTAAAAAATCTGTAAAAGGAGATGTAAAGAATGGTTGCTTTAAAACGTTTTATTAAACACACCAAGACAAGGGGTAAGACAAGGCTGTGTTTTGAGCCCTGTCTTATTTATATTCTTTTTAATGAGCTTGTTTTGGAAACGTATGCTGCTTGCAATCATGGTACATTTGTTACTCAAAATATTGAAGATCTGATGTTACTTTTATTTGCCGATGACATTGTACTTTTCTCGAATACTGTTCGGGGCTTGCAGAAACAGCTAGATGTTTTAAATACATATTGTTTGAAATGGGTATTGTGTGTAAACATTGATAAATCAAATGTTATTGTATTTAGAAATGGAGGAATAATAACTAATTATGAAGTATGGACACTGGATGATATGAAGATAAAGACGGTAATGTACTATAAATATCTTGGAATTATGTTCTCCTCGCGGTGGTTATTCCAAGATGTTGGTAATAAGAACATGTTTCGATCTGCATTAAGAAGAGATATTTATTTCCAATCATGGTACCACAGTTTAAAGTCGTCTACTTTGTTAGTGCAGTATGCTAATATAAAATCTCTTCTGCGACCCGAATTATACATAACAGTACTCAGTGACAAACGATTAGTAAGAGCAAAGAGTAAATTTCGAATATCTCTTCACAACTTTCGAGTCAACATTATTTGTAAAAGGTCACTGTTAAATATACCTCATACAGAATCTATAATGTAAAGAATGTGACCTTCATTTCGTAGAGGATGAATACCATGTCTATTTGCATGTAAGAAATATATTGTATGTTGAGAAATACTTTTTTTACCTCATCACAGAAATATTAAAAAGGTAATATTACGTTTGCAAATTTATTTAAATCAGGTGACGTTAATGTAGTACGGTTGATAGTTTTATATTTATGTAAATTATTTAAAATGAGTTCGACAGAGATGTAACACTCTGGACATGTGAACTAAAATGTTATTTATCTTACAACTGTACTGTGGAGAAACTTCATTTGTATCATTCAACACTCTTCAGCGGTTTTACGCAAATGATATTTATATCAATGTCGGAATTTAATATCGGATATATGACGTATCATAACATAATACGATAGCTGGTAGATCGATTAATCTGAGGTTACGGCTGTGCTGTGTTCAGATTAACCCCCGTCTGTGGTGGAGCTATGGGTTTACACATTTACACGTGGTGTCCCATGTGATGCTAAATCTCAAGTCACAAGATGTTTACAAGAGAAAAGTACACATCTCAAAACAGACACATGTATATGCTCATTACTATCACATAAACATAATATTTACTCTTAGGTGTCTGGCATTGAATACAAGTAACATTGCCACATGGTTTGTAAAGTGTTGGTGGTTTGTCTATATAGAGACTTTAGATGAATAATATGAATGAGATTAAGTCTAATTTCTGATTCTACTTCTATGTTGTGAAACTACTGCAGTAAATTGAAATATGTCTATATGATCTAACAACACCTTTGAGCCAATAGTTGAAGTATTTAGAGGATGATATTGACAGAAAGATACCACTGTACATTACGACTATATACGGCAATATATATGTACATCTATGTTTATTGACTGTTTTCTTGAAACAGATAGCCATTACCGTATAACGACAGTAGTTGACAGTCACGAAGTCACTACAATACATATTAACCAGTTACAAGCATGGTGGATTAATCCTGCCGCTCGTTTGAAGTCACGTGACAAGCCCTTCAAATGACATGTCTCCACCAGTGCAGCTCGCTGCATATATATATGTCACACAGATGGCCAAGGAGATTAACCACGGTATTGGACAGACGCACACATGGACAGGGAGATTCACGATCATATTTGACACTGAATGTCTCACTGTGAATGAGTAACGAAAGTTTGATGACAGACTATGATCCCTCAACAAGATACTACTGTTAAAATATACGTGACGACATTGATAAAAGTTCTTTAGCAAGCATAATTTTGATAAATGTATTGATGTGTACCTACCTAGAGTTGTCCAGAATAACACACAAATACACGGGTATGTCCGTTTATGATCGCAATATATGTCTGTGGTCCACACAGCACTGTAGCGCCGTGTGTTCTGCGCCCGGACCTCACTCAGGGTTGTCTGTAGACTACATGGGAGTGACGTCACCGCTGGTTAACCTGATCTAAAAATAGGTCCACGTTGGACCAGGAACCGAAGTCTCACAACAACGCTGGTTAATCGTTGTCTAAAATCTTCCTATAAGCATCAAGTTGCTATTACTCTGATCCCTCCGATGGTTGACCTTCAGATATATTTACATGAATGAGACTTCTGTTTTCCCTTGTCTTCAAATGAATTTGTAACTTGACTTAATTGGGTTTGGGTTTATGCCCTTTTTCACAATATTCCAGCAATATGTTGGCGGGTGACACCATGAGTGAGCCCACACTTTGTACACGTGAGGGAAACGAACAAGGGCCCAACCTCAGAGTTGCTTATTTACAATTACCACAATTCTTAGTACATTTGCAGGTGCTTGAACTTGCTATGTGAGACTAGCCCTTACATTCTATCAAGGCGGATTAATCTTGCTGTTATAAATAGATCCACGTTGATACAACGGTCGACTCGCAAAAATGATGAATTGATGTGTTTGAGTCATATTCTGCTTACACACAGGATTGTTTTGTGATATATATTTTATATCTTCAGCACGCTGACTTATGGTAGTGATGCTTAGTGGACTGGTCGCATGGGAGTGGGGTATCCATGTTATATTGTGGCATCGTATCTCAGAGGGCTGTCAATATAAACTCGTCATTAGTCCGGACTAGTCGATATGCATACACCGACAGACGGACAGACACACAGTGACACGCACACAGGCACAGACATGCAGATACAGACACAAAAGACACATACACAGATATAGACAGACACAGAGACACAAACACACGCACACAGACACAGACACACACACACACACACACACACACACACACACACACACACAGAAACACTAAGACGCACAGACACAAG